TAAGCCCTGGCTGAAACCAATAAGCAAACAGGCTGGTTACAAAAAGCAAGGCGAGGTAAACCAAATAAAATTCTACGTAGAAGCCTGTGCATATTGAGCACAAAGGTGAGTTGCAAAGTTTGTCGATCTTTTTTTTATGAAAGAACTCTGATGGAAGGAAGGCCGGCACCAACTCATGGACGTCGTCAATGATTATAGTGACTTTCGAACGATGCTTCCCTATGTTCTTCCACCCAATTTTTTACAATTTAACATTTTTTAATAAAATTTACGTTTGGCCCCCTGGGAGACTTAAACTCACCTTTGGGCCCTAAAGGTCGGCGCTAGGACTCATGGCGCCGAGGTAACACGTCTCAGCGCCACAGATCTTGGCGCCGAGGTGCCTGGCCGAGCACAGTATGGCATCCTAGGTGGCGTTGACATGACCGGTACTATGGTGCCAGAATACATGACGTCGAGCTCGGCGCCACAGATCTTGGCGCCGAGCATGGATAACCGTGTGTGGCCCCCGCAGCTCTCTCTGGCACGCTCTCTCTCTCACACTCAGTGACGTGAAGGCTGATGGATATTAATACTCCTCTGCTCACTGCAAAGCGATGACGTCCGCGTCGCGCACGGCTCTGCTGCCCACTGCCCGTGCTGCCGTGACCAGTCAACAAATAATAAAGAGAAAGCCATCTTCCAATGCTCCCAGCGCCTTTCAATGCAAACCAAACACTGCAGTGCTCCACCACGCTACGTGAGCCTCAGCCAACATGTGCAAGCCAGAGCCCCTGACCCGCGGGCCCGTAGGCAACAATTCCCACACACGTGCTGCAGCGCTAGCACACGCACGTGTGAAGTCAACATCAAGTCCTGGCCATCCAGCGCACCTAGCACATGAGCGGACCCCATGCATACATCGGTTTAGAGTAAGGTTAATAGCATAGCCGGCTACTGGCTGTATGAACCTTTACAGCCTACTGCTTAGCCCACTCATATACCGGTTACATCTTCATAATTAATACATGTCTCACTCGTCTATGTTTCTTGGTTTTTGTGTACAAGTCGGCTGTAAACTTACTGCCCGCTTCTCCTCTCTCTCCTTTCTTCTCTCCTCCACCTCAACATTCAGCCTGCTTACGGCCCCTTATTATACTTGCTCTTATCCCACACCGGGAGCGCTAGCCTCTTATCTGAATTTCACGCGGGCAACGTGCTACCATCGGCTTCGCCTATTGCCAACTACATTTGGCACGATTTTAGCATAACTTTGCACGATTCCTGGACATCACACACATCTTTTCTTCTTTTGGAAAGGACTGAGGGAGGAGGATGTAACCGGACTATGATAGATCAACTATAGTATGATAGTGTATTTGGGTGAAAACTTGGTCGTCGTCGGCCGATCAACGAGATCGCCGAACGCCGCCATTGCCCTCGGGCACGGTTAGGTTTCTAGTTCCCGTCTAGTCCTTCACGGCTCCTGTGTTTGCTTACAAAAGGGGGCCACAATGAGCTGCCTTCGTATCTGGGCCACGCAGGGTACGTTTAGTTGATCCAGTTCCGCCCAAAGGTTCGACTACTGGGCTTCTTCATACGTTTGGCTCTTGGGTTCCTTCCCGCCAGCTCTCCTTCACAGAGATTGCTTCCCCTTCTTTGCCTTCATCAGGTTCAGTGATCTCACCATCAGCAGTGGTCGTCGTCGTGCCGTCGGTGACATCCCTTCCTCCTTTAGAACCAGCTTGACCCCAAGCTGGTGCATGGGGAAACTATTGTTGTAGAGGTTCTTCATCTTCCCAGGTGGAGAGAGGGTCAGGGAGGTAGGACCAGTGCACCAAAACTTGAGGGGTCATAATATCATTTTGCTGACGAAGCCGACGGTCTAAGATTTCTTGAGGCACCTGCAACTGATTAGAAATGTCAGGTAGCTCTTGACTTACCATAGCAGCAGGTGGAATGGCCTTCTTTAGTTGGGATACATGGAACACCGGATGTATAAGACAATCTAGACGCAACTGCAGATGATAAGCTGATTGACCAATCTTTTCAGTTATCAGAAATGGCCCAAAGAAATGGAAAGCCAATTTGTTGGAAGATCTGGGCGCCAAAGAAGTCTGCACATATGGTTGGGCTTTAAGATATACATAATCACCTGGTTGAAATGATCGAGGTGTTCTGTGTCTATCAGCTTGAGCTTTCATTTTGTTCTAGGCTCTGACAAGATGCTGACGGACCAGTGATTGCATTAAAGTTCTTTCTTCCAACCATCCCTGGAGGTCACTTGATTTACAAGCTTGAGAGATATCAATACCAAAATGCTTTGGTTCATGACCATAAAGTACTAGGAATGGACTTTGACCAAGAGAAGAATGGAATGACGTGTTATACTAGTATTCTACCAATGCAAGCCATTGAGACCATTTTGCAGGACAAGCATGTAGGAAACACCTTAAGTAAGTTTCAAGACATTGGTTAACATGCTCTGTCTGGCCATCAGTTTGTGGGTGATAGGCACTACTCATTCTCAAGTCGGTGCCAAGGAGTTTAAACAATTCTTGCCAAATGTTGCTAGTAAAAATTTTATCCCTATCTGAAACCATAACTGTAGGGAGGCCATGGAGTTTGAAAATGTTGTTCAGATAAGCTACTGCTACTTGAAGAGCAGTGAAAGGGTGGGAAAGGGGAACAAAATGAGCATATTTTGAAAATTTATCTACCACCACTAATATGCAGTTGTATACAACAGACTTTGGAAGACCCTCTATAAAATCAAGAGTTACTGTGTGCCAAGCATGGTCATGGATGGGTAAAGGTGCCAACAGACCTGGATAAGCCACTCTCTCGGCTTTTGCTTGCTGACATATAATGCACTGGGCAACAAATTCTTGGACATATTGTTTAAGCTTAAACCATGCAAATAGATGTTTGACTCTCTTGTAAGTGACCTCATAACTAGAGTGGCTGCCAATAGTGCTTATATGTAGAGAGGAGAGGATCATAGACTGCAAGACTAGTTGATGACCAACCCAAATTCTCTCCTTGTATCGAATGATGCCATCCTTCAGTGAATACAAGCCACTTGGAGAGGAAATGGAGAGTTCAGACAATAGTTTAGTAGCTTGAGAATCTGCTGTATAAGAATCTTGAATCTCTTGAAGCCAAAGTGGTCGCACTGTGGAGATAGCAGAGATATCATAATAGGGAGCCTGAGATACTTGTGAGAGAGCATCCGCTACTTTGTTATCCACGCCCTTTTTGTACACAATTTGATATGATAGACCCATCAACTTGGTTAATGCCTTGTGTTGAATAGGGGTTGATAATATCTGATCATCTAAGTGAATTAGACTTTTCTGATCAGTGAGTACTATGAAAGAGGAAGATTGCAAGTAATGACGCCAATGATCCATCGCCATCAAGATTACCAAACACTCCTTCTCGTATGTTGAAAACCCTTGAGCCTTAACTCCAAGTGCCTTACTTACATATGCAATTGGGTGACCTTGCTGTTGTAGGACAGCACCAATGCCTTTTGTCGAGGCATCCATTTCAATAGTGAAAGGCAAGTTGAAATTGGGTAATGCCATAACCGGTGATGAAACCAATGCCTTCTTGAGCGCCTGAAAAGCAGCTTCGGTTTCTGATGTCCACACGAACAGAGTTCCTTTTTTCAACAGGTTGGTAAGAGGTTTGCACAGAAGCCCAAACTGCGAAACAAATCTTCTGTAATATCCCATCATGCCTAAAAACTGCGTAGCTCCTTTTGATTCTGTGGTTGTGTCCATTCTTGGATAGAGGCTATCTTTGAGGGATCTATGGCGACACCTTGACCACTGACAATGTGACCAAGATAAGACAATTGTTGTTTTGCAAATGAGCACTTGGACATCTTGACATGAAAATGGTTTTGTTGTAGTATACTGAGAACTTTTGTATATGTAAAAGATGATCTTCCCAAGATTTACTATAAATCAGAATATCGTCTATAAATACGACCACACATTTTCTGAGCAAAGGAGCCAGTATCAGGTTCATAACTGTTTGAAACATTGCTGGACCTCCTGTTACTCCATACGGCATGACCATGTACTCGTAGTGTCCATTATGAGTCTGAAATGTCATTTTGAACTCTTCCCCGGTTGCCATGCGTATTTGATGAAACCTAGAACAAAGGTCAAGAGATGTGAACCAAGAAGTGCCATGTAATTCCTCTAGAAGTTCCTCAATGATAGGCAGGGGGTACTTGTTCTTCTTTGTCAATGCATTCAGTTTGCGAAAATCAATGCATAAACGCCAACCCCCAGTTTTCTTGCGCACCAGTAAGGCAGGGGATGAGTAAGGACTTGTACTAGCTTGAATCCATCCCTTCTCGACCATGTCAGCTATTTGATTCTCTATCTCTGTCTTCTGGGCGGGGTTGTAGCGATAAGGTTTGAGTCAAAATGGTTGAGCACCATCTAATAGTGGAATGGAGTGGTCTCCCAATCGTGAGGGTGGGAGTGTTGTTGGAGGCTCGAAGACTGGCTTGAATTAATCCAGCAAGTGTTGGAGATCCGGAGGTAATGACGGGTCTTGAGGTGCAGCAGGTTCCATTGCTTGAATTTATACCAAATATAATATAGAGTCTATCTTATCAAAGGCTAGCAACTGATTGTGAGAAACTGGAGGCCCCAGTTGGACAGCAGAAGGAATTCCTTGAAGAGTTATTAGCTTGTCTTGATAGGAGAATTGTAACCATCTATCGACCTAGTGAATTTTCATAGGGCTATGGTTTCCAGCCAGTCCATTCCTAATATGATATCATAACCTCGGATTGGAATGATTTTTAGTGTAGTACAGAAAGTATGCCCTTGTGTGCCCCAGACCTGATCACGTAACTCATGAGTACAAGACAGAACCTCTCCATTAGCTACTCTGACAGTTACTGACTAAGATAGTGGTTGCCATGGAGAAACATTAGCTGCAACCAGATCACTCACAAAGCTATTTGAGCTTCTAGAATCAATCAACATAAATACTTATTTTCCTTGAAGATAATCTCTCGGTCTGATTGTTCTAGAGCCTTTAATGCCATTCAAAGCTTGTATAGAGATAGCCATCAGATCATCCCCTGAGTCAGATTCTACTGCTTCGATTATAGTAACTAGATCTTCATGATCAGCAATACATTTCCAGATGTCTTCTATAGCATTGAGAGAAATAGAAGGAGGACACTTATGGTTGGGTCCCCATTTTTCTCCACATTTGAAACACAAGCCTTTGGATCTTCTATAATTCTTCAATGTATTCAATTTATCCTCCCCTGTAAGCCTGGTCTTGCTAGGATTAGGTGGCTTCTTATCTTCGATAAGTCTTGCAAAATTAGAAGATGTTGCAAAATGTGCTTTGATAGGTTCTTGGTTGTTTCTCTTTGAATAAGATCCCAAATCAGATCTCCTGATAGGTTGGTCTTGAGAAGCTTCTTCCTGCAAAAATGCCAAAGAGTTAGCAGTATCTAAATCTTGAGGTCTGTGCATCATAACCACCGCACTTACATCCTTTTTAAGACCATCAAGAAAGCAGTTTGTAATAACAGTAGCAGGAAAAGATGGATCATGGGCTAATAACTGGTGGACAATGTCACTGAATTGTTCAACATATTCAGAGACTGTAGTGGTTTGCTTAATGTGAAAGAAACGTTGCAATAGGTGATTGTGCTCATCTTTGTCAAACCTATTGCAGATAACTACTACAAAGGATTCCCATGACATTTTATTGATGGCAGTTTGCATAGTCTGAAACCAAAGTGATGCAGAACCCACTAGACGCATAGTAGCTAAACAAACCCAAAGACTTGGATTAGTTTGATAGACATCAAAGTATGTTTCACAGCGTTTGATCCACAAACGTGGGTTAGAGCCATCAAACTTATGGAATTCAACTTCAGGAAAGGGTGTGAGGGGTGGGTAGGGTAAGTAGTGTAGTCGCTCACAGTGCCCAGAGTCATAAGTATTGTAAGGAAAATGGACTCTTGGCCCATTTACTTTGGATTTTGGTGTTTGATGACCAACACAACCAAATTGGACTAATGAATTTGCAAGTGTTTGTTTTGTAGTCCAACAGGGTGCAAGACGTGACTTGGACGAAGGCGACGTGATGATCCGATGATCAACACCTTAAGCAAGACTTTAGGAGCACAAGAAAAGACCCAAGATATCAAGCAAAGTTCAAGCATGAAGATAGGAACCAAGCCGTACGCAAGATCGCGAAGAAACGAGCTCGCAGAGACGACCGGACACTGGATCGGACGTTGGAAGCGCGACCAGACGCTGGACCGGTGGCTCGATAGACAGGCGACCGGACGCAAGGACCGGACGCTGGCGGCAACCGACCGGACGCAGGAACGCAGCGTCCGATTGAGTATAGAAAGGTTCTAGAGCGGCACATCTGCGACCGGACGCGTCCGATGGCAGGCGGCCGGACGCTAGCCAGCGTCCGATCAGCATATTGCCGGCTCAACGGTCGGGACGACCGGACGCGTCCGGTCAGGATAATTCAACGTCCGGTCAGTAGCAGTTTCGTGGGAATTCGACCCCAACGGCTACTTTCTCAGTGGGGCTTATAAATACAACCCCCAACCGGCCATTTGAGGTGTGTGGAGCTGAGGAAACATACCAAGAGTGTTGATACACCATTTGAGTGATCTCCACATGTATAGTGCTTAGTGTTTTATTAGGTGATTAGCATAAGTGCTTTACGAAGTGCTTAGGTTGATTAAGACCACTACTTATAAGCTTGCTCTAGGTTTAGGCCTAGTGTTTAGTGAGGTTTGCAAACCCCTTGCCACCCTGTGCTTGCGAGCACAAGTGTTGTACATCGGAGGGGCTTGAAGTCTTGCGAGATCACACCAACCGCGTTTGTGGTGTGGCCACCACCGTGTACCGGAGGAAACAAGGCCCGCGGCGTTTCGGCCGGAAGCTTGATAGTGAAGACGGCGGGGAGCATCCGGGAGAAGTTTGCCGAGAGGCACATCGGAGACCCACTTGCGCATGGGGAAGGCCCGAGGCTATCCATGGAGTTACCCGACCGGGAGCTTGGCCCTTGTGAGGGATTCCTTGCCAGGGGCTCCAATGAGGACTAGGGGGAAGCTTGCGCGCTTCTCGATACCTCGGTAAAAATACCAAAGTCGTCGACGGGAGTTTGCATATCTCTACCTTGCTCTTTAGCTTCCGCATTTACATTGATTACTTTACTATGTTTGCGGTAGAGATAGTAACACACTAGCAAAACCATAGTTGCACATCTAGATAGCTTGTTTATTGCATAGGTTTTGCTAGGGTTAGAAAAAGAGGCCATAGTTTAGAGTTAGAATTTTAAGTTGCCTAATTCACCCCCCCCCCCCTCTTAGGCATCACGGTCCCTTCAATTGGTATCAGAGCAGGTTGGCTCATATTTGGACCTTTGGCTTAACCGCCGTTGAGCCGACGCTATTGTAGAGTGGTTGGGATGGATACCGCTAGGCCTCCATAATTTGACAGCACTAACTTCCCATACTATAAAGCTAGAATGGCTTGCCACCTTGAGGCGGTTAATTTGGGTGTATGGAGAGTCACTCGTGATGGGATGAAACCCATCAAGAATCCCGAAAAACCCACAAAGAGTGACGAAAAAGAAATGCATTTCAATGCTAGAGCTAAGAATTGCTTGTTTGAATCATTTAGTATGGATGTGTTTAACCAAGTGTTCACCTTAAATACAGCACATGAAATTTGGTTAAAACTCCAAGTGCTCCATGACGGCACAAGTAATGTCCGTGAGCAAAAACATTGTCTAGCCAAGCAAAATTATGATTCCTTTATTATGAATGATGATGAGCTTGTTCGTGATATGTATTCTCGATTGAATCTAATTATCAATGAGCTCCATTCAATATGATTATTAAAGCTAGATGATGCAGACATCGTAAGGAAGATCATCTCCGTTCTACCACAAAAGAAATATGCAAGTATCATCACCATCGTTCACAACATGGAGAACTTGAGCACCATGACCCCGAGCATTGTCATTGGCAAGCTAGTGGCATTTGAAATGTCACGTAAGATGGGTCAAGGATAAGCATCTTCATCAAGCAAAGGCAAAGCTCTCGCTTGTAGCGAGAAGAAAAAGATGAAGGGCAAGAAAGTTGAGTCAAGCTCAAGCTCAAGCTCCTCAAGTGAAGAAGAAGAAGATGAGGATGATGATGATGATGAACAAGAATCAAGTGATGATGATCAATCTTCCTCCTCCACCTCCGACCTTGATAAAGAATTAATCAAACTTATCAAAAAGGTGGAGAAGATGATCGTAAGGCTCAATGTCAAGGGTGTGCCCATCCAAATTCAAGACCTCGTTTTCACTAATCAAAGAAACGAGCAAAGAAAGAGGGATGCTATGGATGCGGCGAGTTGGGGCACTTTGTGGAAGTTTGTCCAAACAAGCCCACACCCAAAACAAAGAAGAAGGCGTGCAAGAACAAAACCCTCACAACAATAAGGTCATGGGATGATTCTTCAAGTGAAGAAGAAAACCATCACAAGAGGCGAGGTCACAAGCACTCATCATCAAGCTCTTCTCATGTGTGCCTTATGGCATGAGGTAACGAAAGCTCATCCTCTAGTGAGAGTGATAGTGATGATGATTTGCCTTCTTACAATACAATTGTGCAACAAAATCATAAATATGCTAAAGTTTGCACTAGTCAACAAAAGAAGCTCAAAAATTTAAAAGAAGAGTTAGGTAGTTCACAAGAAGCATACAAGAATTTGCTTGAACAATATGAAAACTTTGCAAATCTCAATGTTGAACTATCTACTAAAATTGAGCAACTTGAGGCTAGTGCAACAACAAGTGCATGCACAATTAACGATAAGCAACATGAAAAGAAAAATAAAAAATTAAAAGAAAAGTTAGCTAGCTCACAAAATGATTATCAAAGTTTGCTTGCTAAAATGGAAATCATGTGCAAACATTGTGATGAGCTAACAAATAAAGTTGCTAATCTTGAGGCCATCAAAAATACCCCCACCAAGGCATCTAAAAGAAATGACATAATTAAAAAGGATGCATCTACCTCTTTAAATGATTCATGTTTAGACTCACCTTTATGCAACCAAGCTTGTGTTGAGAAAGTGATTGTAGATACATGCACACAAGAGGTTGCAAAAGAGAATAAGCAACTCAAGCAAGAAGTAGCTCGCCTCACCAAGGACTTGACTCAAGTGAAAGGCAAGGCGAAGCAAACCCAACTTCATCAAGATAACATCGTCAAGGGAGTGAAGAAGCTTGATGAAGGACAAACTGTGGTTTGCTACGTGTGCCACAAAGAAGGCCACAAGTCCTATGAGTGCAAGGTGAAGAATGGGGGAGGAGCAAAGAAGGAGAAAAAGCAAACAAGCAAGCTCTCCAACACCTACACCAACAAGGTGGACAAGAAGGCCTCCACACCTTATCTCTTGAAGAATAAGAAAAATGACAAGGTGGTGGCCATCAAGGTGAACAAGCAAGCAAACAATGGGGTCAAACGCTTTTGGGTGCCAAACGAAATCATTTCCAACATGAAGAGCACCAAGAAGGTTTGGATCCCGAAAGGGAAGTGAGAAGTCCGTCGGACCTCGGGGAATTTGGAGACTTGGCAAAGTTTGAGTGCATTTCATGGGGTGCATCATGATGGACAAAGTCATTGCCAAGTAGGTTAGTGAATACTATGGACCCAAATTCCCTTCCCATGTTAGGTAACTAGATGTCGTTACTTTCAAATTAGTATTCATTTCAATTGGTTTTGTTTTTCAATTGATATACTCTTAAAAGCATCTAGTTATATTTCATGCCTATGATTGCACTTACATGTTTAATCTTTTGTCATGCATTCAATAGGTATATCATATGGTAGGCTTGCTCGGTTTCATTATCAACCCTTGGAGCAAACCTACATGGTTTAAAATTGTTTACAAGCACGGCACATAGCTTGCTTTACAATTATTTATCAAATATGTGCCAAAGTCTAAATTGTAGATAATCTCTCCCAAATATCATCTTTCAAGTGGTATTTTGATTCTTAAATCAATGTGCACAAATGGTACAAGTATTCAACACTTGCGTGCACATATTTAGGGGGAGTAATTTTACAACTTGGATACTTTGAGACTATCATTTGTTCAAATGGTATCAATTTTTCAAACCTATCACATGTGTAGTAGTCTCATTGTAAGGAAATTGGAGTCCCCGGAGTTAAGCATCACTCTTCTATTGGCATCATCTTGTTGTTTTTTATTTCATATTTACATGCTTTCTCCATGCATTATATAGATTAAACTCTCTTGTACAATAAATTGCTAACTATGCATATGTTTTGCTTTCTACCATATGTATGCATATATTTAGGGGGAGCTTAGTCTATATAATGTGAGAGTCAAATTTTGTGATCCATTTCACTCTTATACAAAGGATCATGAAATTTGACCCTCCCTTGTGCTACTAATGTCTTCCTTTTCGGTGTTTGATGCCAAAGGGAGAGAATTTGAAGGACCAAAGGCAAGCATCAAGTTGATGTCTACAAGTGGTAATGGTGGTCCGAGAAAGGGAGGAAAGTGGATTATGGATTAGTCTAAGTAATGGGAGAAAATTTTAATTTTCACATGGGGACATTTGCAAGGGCAAGACAAGCTTTTAAATAAAAGCTTTAATTGGTATCTTATAATTGACTTCAATTGGTATCCCTAAATATTTTATATGATTTCAATTAGTATCTTTAAGTATCAAATAAACTTGCCCTTTTGCATTGCATCCTAGCAAGTAGGTAGTTTTTATCTTCAAAATTCTTATTATTTGCTTGCCTTGGTCGTGTTGGCATCAATCACCAAAAAGGGGGAGATTGTAAGGAAAATGGACCCTTGGCCTATTTACTTTGGATTTTGGTGTTTGATGACCAATACAACCAAATTGGACTAATGAATTTGCAAGTGTTTGTTTTGTAGTCCAACAGGGTGCAAGACGTGACTTGGACGAAGGCGACGTGATGATCCGATGATCAACACCTTAAGCAAGACTTTAGGAGCACAAGAAAAGACCCAAGATATCAAGCAAAGTTCAAGCATGAAGATAGGAACCAAGCCGTACGCAAGATCGTGAAGAAACGAGCTCGCAGAGGCAACCGGACGCTGGACCGGATGCTTGAAGCGCGACCGGACGCTGGACCGGTGGCTCGATAGACAGGCGACCGGACGCAAGGACCGGACGCTGGCGGCAACCGACCGGACGTAGGAATGCAGCGCCCGATCGAGTACAGAAAGGTTCCAGAGCGGCACATCTGCGACCGGACGTGTCCGGTGGCAGGCGACCGGACGCTGGCCAGCGTCCGATCAACATATTGCTGACTCAACGGTCGGGACGACCGGACGCGTTTGGTCAGGACGATTCAGCGTCCGGTCAGTAGCAGTTTCGCGGGAATTCGACCCCAACGGCTACTTTCTCAGTGGGGCTTATAAATACAACCCCCAACCGGCCATTTGAGGTGTGTGGAGCTGAGGAAACATATCAAGAATGTTGATACACCATTTGAGTGATCTCCACATGCATAGTGCTTAGTGTTTTATTAGGTGATTAGTATAAGTGCTTTGCGAAGTGCTTAGGTTGATTAAGACCACCGCTTATGCGCTTGCTCTAGGTTTAGGCCTAGTGTTTAGTGAGGTTTGCATACCCCTTGCCACCCCCGTGCTTGCGAGCACAAGTGTTGTACATCGGAGGGGCTTGAAGTCTTGCGAGATCACACCAACCGCTTTTGTGGTGTGGCTGCCACCGTGTACCGGAGGGAACAAGGCCCGCGGCGTTTTGGCCGGAAGCTTGATAGTGAAGACGGCAGGGAGCATCCGGGAGAAGCTTGCCGAGAGGCACATCGGAGACCCACTTGCGCGTGGGGAAGGCCCGAGGCTATCCACGGAGTTACCCGACCGGGAGCTTGGCCCTTGTGAGGGATTCCTTGCGAGGGGCTCCAACAAGGACTAGGGGGAAGCTTGCGCGCTTCTCGATACCTCGGTAAAAATACCGAGTCGTCGATGGGAGTTTGCATATCTCTACCTTGCTCTTTAGCTTCCGCATTTACATTGATTACTTTACTACGTTTGCGGTAGAGATAGTAACACACTAGCAAAACCATAGTTGCACATCTAGATAGCTTGTCTATTGCATAGGTTTTGTTAGGGTTAGAAAAAGATGCCATAGTTTAGAGTTAGAATTTTAAGTTGCCTAATTCAACCCCCCTCTTAGGCGTCACGGTCCCTTCAAGTATAAAGTAGAACAGAGGTGGGTTTGGGGGGGTCGCACCTATGGCCGGGGCCGGTTCTGGGGCAATGGTGTACACTGCCTTGAAATCAGCACCCCAGTGAGAAGTTCTCTTGTCGTGGTCTAACGACCCAGGTGCCGCCCTTGGCGGGTGAAACTCCAGATGAGCGGAGCTCGGCACCTTGACGCTCGGAGAGGTGAAGTGGTCCTCCCGAATTGCCGTGGTGAGTGAGGGTTGCGCGATGGTGACTTCCCCAGACTGCTCCCCATGGGTTGGTTCTAGAGGTTGGGCCAGCGAAATCCGAGACCCCAGAACTTGCTCGATGTGCTCCCCAAGATCCAGCACTGCGTGCTCCAGCTCGTGAACTCGGTGATCGACTTTGGGCTTCCACAGCAACAAGTCCGTCTTCAACGCACTCATCTCCGTCATCGAACTCTTGAACTCGTTGATTCCCTTGGAGTTTTCTCCCAGCAACGCCAGGATTTGCCCCAACTGCTCTTCGGGAGTGACCGAGGCCATCTGTCTTCGGGTGAGGTACTGATGCGATGCCAGAATCACGAATTTCCCCACAAATCGATTCGCGGGCTTGGGAATTACCGAGAAATCGTTGGCAATAGCAGCTCACTGCCCTTCAAGGATCTCAATCGAACCCGAAGCGTTTGCGATTTCGACCGATGGAATGCGGAAATTCGAGGGACCAAGGATCGAGAGGCAATCCGATACCAGATGTAACCGGACTATGATAGATCAACTATAGTATGATAGTGTATTTCGGTGAAAACTCGGTCGTCGTCGGCCAATCAACGAGATCGCCGAACGCCGCTGCCGCCGTCGCCCTCGTGCACGGTCAGGTTTCTAGTTCCCGTCCAGTCCTTCACGGCTCCTGTGTTTGCTTACAAAAGGGGGCCACAATACGCTGCCTTTGTATCTGGGCCACGCATGGTCCGTTTAGTTGATCCAGTTCGGCCCAAAGGTTCGACTGCTGAGCTTTTTCGTGCGTTTGGCTCCTGGGTTCCTTCCCGCCAGCTCTCCTTCAGAGATTGCTTCCCCTTCTTTGCCTTCATCAGGTTCAGTGATCTCGCCATCAGCAGTGGTTGTCGCCGTGCCGTCGGTGACAGAGGAACCTGAACTGTATCTGAATCTTCGTACGAGAATCGCGCGCCGAGCTCTGTCAATATATCTCTGTGCACTTGTAGCCGTCAGTTGAGTGTTGGATGGGAGCTATGATATTATTAAGCGCAGAATTTGGCAGCAGCGCCGTCGTCCACAGAAGCTGGAGGAGCGTCGCAAGCCACTCCGCTCCGCTCCAGTCCAGGACTCCCTCCAGGATGGCTTATCTGCCACGCGGGACGGCGGCGGGGCCCGCGAAAGGATGGCTTGTATCCTTAGCCGTCGTCGTCATCCTATCCTTCCGCCAGCCTCCCGTACTTCACATACGTGAGCGCCTCGGCTTCCTTCCCCCAGCTTCCTCTTCCTCTTCCTCACTCCTGTCCGCACAGGGGAGCAGGCGGCGGCAGCACAGGTACGCTTGTCTTGTTTTCGTTTGGATTTGTGGTGATGATGCGGTCTGATGTCTGGACTAGTACGTAGCTAGCATGAACTGAATGAATTGTGCGAAAGGATGACTGACTGGAGAAATTGTTCTCGTTGTTTTATTAAATGCTTGCGCTGGCGGCTGGCCTGTACATCTCTGAATATTGTATTTATTATTTACTTATATATATATATTGAACGAACTTGTATGTATCTGAATATTTTCTTGTCCTAGACATGTACGTCCCGTTCGGCTTATCTTAAAACCGGCTTATTCGGCTTCTTTTTTCAATTAGTGTTTTTCTCTCATAACAATTCAGTCAATTTCAATTAAGTTTCAGCAAACCGAACGGGGCGTAGTAGCAAGTGTTTGCGTGGTTCACAGACATGTAGGCTCAAGGCGTAAGGATAAGTATTAGGTTTGGTTGCCAAGTTCAGTGCACTATGCTGAAAAACTTGCGCATGCCGCATGACTGGAAAACATCTTATCTGTTGCTTGCCTTGGACACAGAAGTATTATAGTGCATATTATGTCAGTACTTAAGTCATTGCCATTGCAACAAGTAAAGTAGGGAAGAAGTACTAGCTAGCAGGCTGTACACGCAAGCACAATTCATAATCTTTGTTTTTCTCTCACAATAATTCAGTCAGAACAGCATTTTTCAGCCAATTCAGTTTCAGTAAACCGACAGGGCCTCGGAAGGGTAAAAAAAATGGACTGCTACGTAACAGTTTCAGAGAAAATCAACAACTTCTGCAGAGCTAATAGGCGGGCCTGTATTGATCCAGGCTCATTACCAAGCCCACGCAAGCTTGCAACTGTTGTTAGCCAAAAAAAAAAAAAGAACGAACACGTCAGCAGGGCAGCTGCTTGAGAATTGAGCTTGACTGACTGACTTGTCTCCTTGCACCAGTGCTGCAGCAAGCTAAGCTAAAGATGGCGGACTACGTGTATGGCCCCGGGCGGAACCACCTGTTCGTGCCGGGCCCCGTGAACATCCCGGACCCCGTGATCCGCGCCATGAACCGGCAGAACGAGGACTACCGCTCGCCGGCCATCCCGGCGCTGACCAAGGTCCTCCTCGAGGACGTGAAGAAGATCTTCAAGACGACCACGGGCACGCCCTTCCTGATCCCGACGACGGGCACGGGCGCGTGGGAGAGCGCGCTGACCAACACGCTGTCCCCGGGGGACCGCATCGTCTCCTTCCTCATCGGGCAGTTCAGCCTGCTGTGGATCGACCAGCAGCAGCGCCTGGGCTTCGACGTGGACGTTGTGGAGAGCGACTGGGGCCGCGGCGCCGACCTCGCCGCGCTGGAGCGGAAGCTCCGGCAGGACGCGACGCGCCACACCATCAAGGCCGTGGCCATCGTGCACAACGAGACCGCCACGGGCGTCACCAACGACCTCGCGGCCGTGCGCAGGCTTCTGGACGCGTACGCGCACCCGGCGCTGCTGCTGGTGGACGGCGTGTCGTCCATCTGCGCGCTGGACTTCCGCATGGACGAGTGGGGCGTCGACGTGGCGCTCACCGGGTCGCAGAAGGCGCTGTCGATGCCGACCGGGATGGGCATCGTGTGCGCCAGCCCCAAGGCGCTGGAGGGCAGCGAGACGGCCAAAATGCCTGTTCGGTTGGCTGGTTCGTATCGTTGCTGGTTCGTGAAGAAGTACTACTGGCTGGTTTGTGTGAGAGAAAAATACTGTTCTGACTGAATATTTACGATCGTTTACGACGAAGCCACATCCAAACGTCCGTGCGCGTCTTCTTCGACTGGAAGGACTACCTCAAGTTCTACGACATGGGCACGTACTGGTCCTACACGCCCTCCATCCAGCTGCTCTATGACCTCCACACCGCGCTTGACCTCATCTTCGAGGAAGGGCTCGACAACGTCATCAAGAGGCACAACCGCCTCGGCACAGCCACTAGGTACGGTACGCTACGGTGGTGTTTTCTTGCATGCATGCCCACCAGGTGTTCGATCGACTCATTGCGCCAAATGCAGGCTCGCCGTGGAGGCGTGGGGGCTCAAGAACTGCTGCCGGAAGGTGGAGTGTTTCAGCGACACGGTCACCGCTGTCGTCGTGCCGCCATACATCGACAGCGCCGAGATCGTCAAGCACGCGTGGAAGCGGTACAACCTCAGCCTCGGCCTCGGCCTCAACAAGGACGCCGGGAAGGTCTTCAGGATCGGCCATCTTGGCAACCTCAACGAGGTACGAATACGATCCTAGCTGATGTGCACTGCAGTTTGCAACGTTGGCAAATTATTAATCAATCACTGTAACTTATCTTTTGTTTCAAAAAAAAACATTTTTGTTTTTTTGCAGCTGCAACTTCTGGGATGCCTGAGCGGCGTGGAGATGGTGCTCAAGGACGTGGGATACCCGGTGAAGCTCGGTAGCGGCGTGGCGGCGCGGCGGCGTACCTCTCGAATTCGACGCCTCTGATCCCGTCAAGGATCTAAGAACAATGCAAGGGACGACACGGCAGCGCAAAGAAGGCCGGCCGGCCGGCCGGCGACGACAGCGGGCAGACGAACGAACAAATTAAAGCGTGCAGCTCCGCGCTCTGCTGCCTTGCGGAGCGGATGGCTGACTGCAGTAACGAACGAACTATTGGCTATACTCTCTGTATGTACAGTTAATTTCCACACCAGCTGTTGCTATGGGGTATCATTTCGTGAACTACAGCGTTAATTAATCTTCAAATTAATCTCTGTATATGGTCCTGCCCAGTTTTAACTATATTTGATCCTAGTACCAACCAGCTCTGCTTCTTGCCCTCACGTAATTTTTTTTCTTGAGTCTGAACAGAAAACAGGCCATAGAACATGCCATTCTTACAAACAACAAAAATACTCTTACAAATTAGTATATTGCTCGTATTAATTCTTTGCGTGATCATAGAACAAGCAGTACTTACTACATGAATAAGTACAAATACTCTGTAACTCAAATGTAAAAATGGCGGTAACGAATAGTACGAAACACATCAAAATTTAGTAATGAACTGAACCAAACAAGTAATGGCTGTTGCGCTCAAGAACTTCAGGCAGCTTTGGCGAGCTGTCCGAGCTCCCTGTCGACGGCGACCTTGAGGAAGCTGCCTTCCTCGACGACCATCTGCACGCAGAGGCGGGCGCAGGATTTGGACCATGGGTATTCAAAATTGCAGATGGCAAGAAAAAAAATTTGACAACCTAAATAATAGGAATTTGGGATTTGGGAAGACTGAATTCATCTTACAGGCTTCTGTGCTTCCTGGTTGCTGCTTGGAGTGCCCCTGCCGCCCCTGCCAGCTGCCGCAGTGCCGCTGCCTGCCTGCGCCGCTGTTGCCCTGCGCCCCTGCGGCCCTGCCTGCGCCGCTGGCCGCTGCGCGCTACGCGCCTGTGGCCCTGTGCCCAGCGCCTGGCCTCCAGACTCACTCCAGTAGGTGGCCCTCCCCGTCCCCGGCTCCGCCCTCCCCGCCGCCGGCGGCGGCTAGGGTTGAAGGCCTGGTCGCCTGGATGTGGATGTGTGCGTGGGGCGTGGCTGCGTGGTGTGCCTGTGCTGTGCGCCTGTGTGGCCTGTTGGCCTGGCCGCTGGCGAGTGGGAGTGGGAGGCCGAGACGCCGAGTGGCGAGTGGGCCGAGTGGCCGCGTGGGCGTGGGCCGAGCGGCAAATTGGGAGTGGCTGCGTGCTGTGCCTGTGCCGTGCGCCTGTGTGGCCTATTAGCTTCTTCATTTTTATTTTTTTTCATACATATACGGATATACCTAGAATACACTATATATAATTTTTTTTTGCAAAAATAATGGGTATTCAACTGAATACCATTGAATACAAGTGGGCCCGCCCCTGTCTGCACGGGAAGGAAGCCCAGCCCGTTGGCCACGGCGAGCATCAGCTCCCTCATCTCCGCACGGAACTCGTGCCGGTCCACCATGCCGCTGCCGTCCCTGTCGAACCGAGCGAACAGGCCGCGGTACAGCCTTGCGAGCTCGTCGGGCGCCACCGCGGCCTCGTCCACGCCGAAGTGCTTCTCCAGCACCCGCAGGCTCATGAGCTCCCCGGCCATCTCCGCGTAGGTGAGCAGGCCGTCGTGGTCGGCGTCTAGCGCGGCGAACCGGCCGTCCACCGAGGAGTTGAAGGCGCCCTCGTCCTCCACGAAGCACCGCACCGTGCTCCCGTCTAGAATCTCCACGCTCATCGTCGGATTCTCTAGGTGTTCTTCAGTTATTGGGACGTGTTCGTGTGAGGGGAAAGTGAGAGTTTGCTCTGCTCTTGGCTCTCTGTGGCTGGTGAGATGGTAAGCGCGATCAGTCGTCCAGTTTTTTTATAGTGTTGCGAGCTGGTCGCACGATTGGCCGTGCGTGGAAGGCGCGTTTGGGCCGACGGTTTTCGCTGACGGGCTGGGTTGGGCCTGTGGGTTTTGACGCCCGTAAGATGCTGTCCCCGCTGGGCGCCTGCTGTTGTGTGGCGGACTGGCGGTGCTTGGGAACGACGCGAAGTTTCATTTCTTAATTTTGGCCCGTTCAGCCTTTTGTTTCATCGTGGCACTTGGGCCTGTGGAGAAAACGTGTGCTAGGTCGGTGATGGTTGTCGGTTGGGCAGTCCGACACCAACGACTCTCAGCGTGTGTCTGGCCATGGGATCATAAAGGGATGGATTGAATCCAACCCTATTTTTAAGAGGTGGTTAGACTCATTTTTTATTTAGTTAAGGGGTTAGGTTCATCCTTTTTTTTTCATGGTTGAAGTGCTTGGTTCAGATGGATTGGACATCTGACATGCGGGTCTCATATAGAACTATATACCGATGAGGCTAGAAAACGAAATTATCTTGCATGTATGGCCTTCCATCCGTTTCTAGCACTAATGGTGTTAAGTCAAGGGTAAAATGCCCATTATAACCCTGGTGAAAAAATAAAGTACGGAGTTTAGTTTGTCTGATTTAGATTTGGAGTAATATATTCATATAAATAAGGTCACACATAATAGTAAGTAATAAGAAACATAATCAGATACACAAATACGTTAAAATAAAATTAGCTTATCAAATGCATAAAAATTTGCACAAATGCATTGCAATTCACCATAGGTTCACATATAAATTTGCATATATGAGATAGGTTCACACATAAATTGTTCACTAATCCACCATAGGTTCAGTCTCACATAAATAAGGTCACACATAAATGTCACACATAAAGGCCATCTCAAGCCTACATTGGGATCACATATAGCAAGCAAATTCAATATGCATATCACAAATCAAAGGCCAAGCCTTCTTTTGCTGTGTGTACTCATTGTAGGGCTGGCAGGTAGTCCTGTCTTGCTTCTTGTACCCATCGAATGGGCTGTCAAGTGGCACCTTTGGAATGTCTACGCCTTTTTCTTTGGAAGTCCTAGCTTCTTCATTTTGGGTTAGACCTTCCTTTTAACTTGAGCAGGTCGATCTTCGTGAGAAGCAACAGATAGTGCTTCAGGTTGATTTGACCCACTTCTCAACCTACAAATGGTATACATGGGCAACGGTTTTAGATTAGAGAAAAAATTGAATCAATGAAAAAAATTCAGAATTAGGAAACGTACAATTTTGAACATCCAGAGTTGGAGTTAGTATGGTTTCCCTTTTTCTTACTTGAAACGTCCAGAGTTGGGGTGTAGACATGGGATGTCGTCGGTGCATCTTCCTCCAAAGGCACAATGGAACTTTGGGCAGATTTGGTGTTCCTTGCCCTCCTCTTTGGTTCTCCCCTGCAATAAGAATAGAATCAATAGCATGTACTTACAAAGGAAAAATATAAATGGTAGAGAAGTCTAGACACGTTATTACCTGATTGCTTTTATAGCTTCAATGTCTTCTGGTTTGCCCCTCTTGCAATTATGCCAATGATGTCCATAGTCCACACAAATAGGGCACTAGTGCTGGCCTTTTCTCTTTTTCTTATCACCAGTGCCTTTGCATCTTTCAGTTTTAGGCCTACCAGCAACCGTGGTTAATAAAGGTGGGTGCATGAAAAATTCTGGGAAAGATTTTAGACCTTCATCATAATAATGAATATGAGCTACTTCCAAATAACCAGACGGGTACTTCTCTACCACTGATTCAACAAGGTCCTTATAATTTGTTGTGTCTGAATCAACAGCCATGTCAAAGCTAAAACATTTCATATCTTGTCTACACTTCTTACAGTTGCCCAACAATTTAATTTTCAGCTTGAAAGTTGTATTCGGGTCTTTGATATTATTCAAAATCAAAATAGCGTTTCAGAACTCGGTAAATCTATAACTACTTCTAGGAGCACAAAAGATTGTGGACTCAGACTTGAAGCCAGTCATCCTGGTCCAAGCCGACGCCATCACCAAATTCCTACTCATCCATGTCCTGCTCGATAGGGAAGGCGCTCTGCTCGTCCACGCCCTAGGCTGCGTCCACGACGGCGACCTGCTTGGGCTCGATCCCCCCGGCCTCCACCTGCTTGGGTTGGCTGCGGTCGCTGGAGGTCGGGGCCACGCCAGGCTGGCCGCAGGAGGGGCCGCTTGGTGCCGCGCTGGGCTAGCCGCGATCGCTGGAGTTGCCAGCCATGCCGGTCTGGCCCGGGAGGGGCCGCCTGGTGCCGCACCGGACCAGCCCCGGCCACGCGCGCTGCACCATGGTCGGCGCCCTCCTCCATGGTCTCTCGCTCGGTCTCGTGTCCTCCCCTCGGTCGAACGGTGAACGGATGTGGTAGAAACAGGGGAATAGCAGAAGGGCACTCTGGTCATTTCGTGTATCCACTAGTGGAGAAACTAACAGAAGACCCTAACAGACTTGTCGGAAGGCCATGTAAGTAAGACAATTTTGTTTGTGGGCCTCATAGGTAAGTAAAAAAAAAGGGCCATGGAAGGAAGATGGATTATTTTGAGGACCATACAGGTAAATATCTCTCTCATATATCATTCTTTGGGTCCTTCTTCTTTACGTCTACCGCTCACGCCCGCACGTCTACTGCTTGTCTGTAGCCGTGCGGCCACAATCGCCTCTACTCGGCACCGCAAGGCAGCTCGCCATAGCTCCTTCGTGCTAGCGCAGCCACCGGCATCGCTCCTCCATGCCTGTGCGACTACCGTCACATCTCCTCCATGCAGCCAAGGCCACCGCTCCGCGTCCTCGTGGTCGCCGTCGCCGCTCCTTAGCGCGGCGAAGCCGCTGGCCTTAGCTCCTCTGTGCTCGCGCATCCCACCGCCGAGTGTGGCCGCCGCTGGGGTTGGTCGTGGCATGCCGCCCTGCGTGGCCGCCGCCGGTGCCACGCGTGGCCCGCCACTGGCTGCTGCACATCCTACCTCTACTAGCACACGGACACATAGAAGTGGGTCAATTGATTTCTCCTATTTTGAGGAATCGAACGAACCCGAATGTACGAGGAATATTCCCTCTGGGGATGAACCCAACCTACCTACTCTCCAAACCAAACAGGCAAAAAACAGGACCCAACCCAACCCACTTCAACCTTGGAACCAAACACACGCTTAACGGGTGCGGTGGACTAGCTAGCTAGTGGGCGCGTGATGGCAGAGGCACCAACACATGTGGTGTCAGGTCATACACTACTAGTTTAGAATATATTACAATTAATATCTTTAATACCAAATAAATGCACTATCAAAATATATTTCACAATAGATTTTAATAGAACTAATCTGGCGTTGAAAATGTTTGTGCATTTTTCTATAAACTTAGTCAAATCTAGAAAAGTTTGACTTATGATGAAACTTAAACACATTACATTTTGTAATATAGGGAGTATGTTTCGTGTAAAGATAGTAATGGTGTATGTTTAGGTAAAATACACTCTAGAATACACCGTAGACATATACACATCATCTATGTGGCACAACACTGTAGTTCCTCATTGAAAATAGATGGTTACTATAGATGTCTTCAACATCTGAGCAAACACTAAGTTAACGAGCCATACTAGATGATGCCGCAAATTCTTGCTCCAAGCTGTAGCACCCAGACATCATTGGAACTATTAAATGTGTATCATTGACAAGCACATCAGTGTGTTCATGTGGGTATTGAGTTTCTGAGCGTAACAAAGGTTCTATTTCTCCATTCTTTTCAATTAAAAGATTTGTTTTGTACCTTATCCTCTTTGTTCTTAGAAATTGTAATCTCATATCTACTTCTTTCATACTTGGTCTATGCCCTCCTTTGGATCTTAAGCATGCTTCTATAATTGTGGCAACGTCATTAATCTCTTCTTGGTCTACCTCTTCCCTAACTTGATAATCTATTATTTCCATGAGAGCCCCTTCCTGTAGTCCTTCAACGAAGTAATGAGCTAACCTTTGTTTTGCGCCTGATTCATTGATAAAAATTGGCTTCTTTCTTGTCAAAAGTTCCACAAGTATCACTCCTAAACTATGCACATCACTCTTCTCAGTTAGTTGACCTGTATGATAATACTCTGGGTCTAAGTAACCAAATATTCCTTGGACAATTGTCACCACATGTGTTTCATCAAGTGAAAGAGATCTTGAAGCAACAAAATCAGAAACCTTTACAGTGAAATTGTCATCCAAGAGTATATTGGAAGACTTCACATCTCTATGGAAAATTGGTATTGCAGCAGCTGAGTGTAGATAAGCAAGTGCTCCTGCTGCTTCCAGTGCAATCGATCATCCCATGATAGCAAGCATTTTACTGCAGTATTTTCATGAAGAATACCATATAGAGTGACATTCGATATGAACTCATATACTAGCAAGGGTACCTCATCTTCTAGGCAACAACCAAAAAGTTTCACCATATTGCAGTGAATGATTTGAGACAAAATAGCAACCTCATTGATAAACTGATTTATCACTGTTTGCTCCACTATTTTGGACTTTTTTATGGACACGACACGTTGGTCAGACAAAATCCCTTTATAAACTATGCCATGCCCTCCATGACCTAGAACACGAGTAGCATCAAAGTTGTTGGTTGCTTCCTCTAGTTCATCCAAAGTGAATATCTTTGTTTTGTTTGCAGCGCTTTCATCCGATATTAGCTGCTCCAAGAGTAGTCCTTGATTTTTCTTGAAGTATGTTCTTCGGATTTTCCTTTGGATATCTTTTTCCACCTACCGGTGAGTACAATCGCACCAAGTGCAAAACTTATGGATCCAAGGCCACAAGCAAGCCCAATTGCAATCCCTACATCCATTAAATGTGAACGTGAATATTTCGTGTTTTTAATTTTGATAGATAAATACATGACTCACCGAGAATTAGATTACGCTGCTTAGCTGACATGACACATTTATGTTTTTTTGGATCATACTCTTTCCCATGACGGCAACTTGTACAATTGAAGCCTCCATCAAAGTTGTGGCATATTCCATTGCATTTGTTTGGAATAGAGCACTCATCAATATCTGTATGAGTAAGATGGTTACAAAGTTTGGTGATGCAAGTAAAGCATGCATGCATTTATTGCCATTTAAAGAAAAGTAACGTGATGTGTGATCATGTAGAACCATTGGTGGTGCAAGTAGTTGTCAGACCCTTTATTTGTCGACAACAATAGTCATTGGATCTGTTATATTTATAAATAAAATCACCCCCTTTTATATGTCATTAAAAAATAGTCAATAACCCTACAAATCTATATCTAAGTTACCTGCTTTTGTCCGAAAGATAATATAAAGTAAACCCTAAATTATCATACAACTTACCCCACCTCTACCATTTTGTAAGATATCATAAATTAACCTTCCACAAATTTGCATCTAATTACCTATATGTGTTATTACATAAAATAAACTAAAATAATCCCTTAAATCCACATATACATTATCTAAATATGTTTTGTGAAAAAGATATTGTAACCCCTAATACTCTTCTAAAATATCCATTTCTACTGCTATAGGTATATATAAAATACTACTCTAAATATCCATACATGTTATATGCCACCATATAGACATGCACGAAGCTATATACAAGCACACATTTCCACAGTTTAACAAGTACAAAAAAATATCTCCTTAACAACACATAACAATAGTGACACTGACAATGTACTTAAATTATATTAATAACCCATAAAATTAAATTATGTGAGTTGCTACGTTGGGCAATTCATACATCTTAACTAAAAAATTATGACATACATACATTTATAGTTCACTTGTAAGCAGTCTGTTATTTAAAAAGGTATACTATTAAACACATAATCCTTAGAAAAAATTCAACATCTTAAACGTTGAGTAGTAGGCTGAACAATTATACATGCTATTTGAGCAGTAGGCTGTACAATTGTATATGCTATTGTTGAACAGTATGCTGAACAATTGTATATATTATTGGAGAAACCTAGAGCATCTCTAGTGGGTCCAAACCCACCCCTACCCTAAATTTGAGGAGTGGAGACAAAAAAGGTCTAGCGGTCCAACCACTCAAGCGCTCAAATCTGAGAGGCCCCCAAATCCCTCCACTCACCCCTTGTCCCTAGGGTCAAGTAGGTTCCCCTACATTTTATTTTCTATTTTTTCATCCACCACCGTCTACCTGCCCAATTCCCTCTACTCTCTGCCCAACCATGCTGCCACCATGTGCCTTCTTCCTAACCATTGCCGCCTCGAGGTTGCGATCAAATCTGGCAACCTCAGTCCCTTCCTGACCCTTCCTCCCACCAACTGAGGCCTCTCTCGTGCATGTCGGTGCCAGGAGGGAATGGCGCATACTCAATGGTCTCAGCGACTATGTTCCATCATAAGCTAGATCTTACCCCTCTCCCTTGCTGACACACCCTCTCTAGAAAAGATCTAATCGTTCTCCTTATTTTGTGGCTTTTTATTCATCTCCGATGATTACATCCTCTCCCTTCTTGGTCGCTCCTCCTCCCTGCTAAGCTCATCAACCGGTGTGGCACCTCCACTGATCAAATAAAGCAGAGAGAAGGAAAATAATGAAAATAAAAAGGAAAAAAAGAAATGATGAGCCTGGCAAGTAGCTTCCACCCGTCACAAATAAAATGACCGTTGAGATTTAGGGATATTATTAGCGACAAGAGAACCAGGCCACGAGAAATCAAGGAAGTCCCCTCTCAGGCAAACAGAGGGCCTAGTCTAGGGTTATTGATAGAGATACTTAGAGATTTCAATTTAGAACCTTCAATCCATAATTGAACCAAATATAAAAGGAGCATTTTGAATAAAATGGCACAACAATAAGCACTAGAGATTTGATGAATGTATGTACTATGGGTGTCCATACCAACACAATAAGTGTTTGAGCGATTGTCCTCGATGCTTCTGGCTAAGCCATTTGGCCAGATGAATTAAGGACCTTGCATTGGAAGCTAAGGGATCTAGGGCTCCTCAGACACCAGCCTAACTAAGGGTTCGAGTGGAACACTATGCGATACTCGAAGAAGCCGGGAGCACAAAGGACAAAACCAAAGTACAGAGTTGAAGACATCCTAAAAGGGATACAACACCCCTCTCTACTTGACCCAGTACGGTGTACATTAGTCACAATATCGGATGGTGTAGAGTGTGCGACATGCTTGTACGAACCTTGTCGCCAACCCAACTAACCTCTATGAGAAAATACTATGCCTATTTGTCGAATCCAACCAAACAACCATGGTCGACTTCCATACGGGTTGACAAAGGAGAATAGCCCCCAATTATTCCATTCGTCAAGAAGAACATCACCCAGAAGACAAGTCAGACGAGTGACACATGGGGCCACTATCCGATAAGACCGCACCAAGCATGAGGACATCACTGCCAACTCACTGTACTTGTAAACCACATCCCCTTGACTATATAAAAGGGGTTGGGGAGCCCCACCAGAGGCAATGAGGAGCAATCCACATAGATTACACACAACCTCTTGTAACACATCCCTAACTACTACAAAAACGATTTTGGGAGACTGGCCTCTTGATTAACAGAGGCGGGCATAAAGTGTTCTTATCTCCCTGAGTACCAAGTGATTTACATGAGGCAGTCAAACCACTTATAGAGGTAGAAAAAAACAAACGTCTCTATAAATCAATTTCTAGAGGTAGGCCTCTTAAGAGGACCACCTCTAAAACTAGATACCATTTTCAAAGGATAAGAGGTCCACCTTAGGAAATAGGCCCAAAGCCTGAAAGGCCCATTACTTTGTTCGCATGTACACACACACACGCAAGCACATCAAACTTAGGGGTTGGATGCTCCCACAACCACCTCTCTTCGTTCTTCCACAGTCGCCTCTCTCTCATCTCTTCTCTCTCTCTCCTCTCACCAACGCCCCCTCCACCTTCTTTGATCTAAGCGCTTGTGCTTGCAGCGATGGCTGGAGCTCATGACCGCCTGTGCTCCATGGTGACGCTTGTGATCACGGTGACGTATGGGGCTCTTGGCTATGCGGATCTAAGCGTAGGGGGCGATGGTCTACCCATGGAGGCCTGATCATGCATCGAATACAAGGAGATGGGCGGCGACGAGAACTTAGGAGGCGGAGGTCGTGGCCATGCAGATCTAGGCAGAGTGCGCGACGGATTAGGTGTTGCCACCATACTCAAGGTATGAGTGATGACCTCTCTCTCTTTCTCTCTTTCTCTCCCTCCCACCCTCAGACTCTATCTCTCTCTCCCTCACTTTCTTTGCAGCGGTCTCGATAGTGGGAAACGATGGTGGCGAGGATGACCTGGGAGGATGAGCGGGGAGGATGGATAAGGAGGATGGATGGGAGGACAAGTGGGGAGAATGAGTGGGAAGGTCGATGGGGCTCATAGAGGGGAGGATGGGCTCGATAACAGCTGCATCTATGCTTTCAATCTCCGGTGAAGAAGGCGAGGATGAATGGTGGATCTCCACGGACAGTGGCAAGGACAGCGGGTGAGCTTGGCAACTTTGGATCTCTAAGGACGGTCGGCAGGCTCGGGTGGCGAATCTCCGAGGATGACTTTGATGGACGACCGATGGTCTGGCAGCGGCGGATCTTCGGGCTTGGCCTCAGCCCGCAGGCTGATTTTTTTTGCTTTTTCCTTCGATTTGCAGAGACGGGCATAACCACCGCCTCTGTAATTACTAACTGATTGTGACCCTTAGCAGAGGCAGGTGGGCAGTCCGCCTCCATAAATCTGTTATGCCCATCTCTAAAAAATTCTTCAGTGGTAGTGCTACATGAACTCCAAGCACTCGGGCACAACGATAGAACTCTCCTTCCCACACTGGATGTAGGGCTCGATCACCAAAACTAATATAATAATTTGTGTCTCATAGCTACCCCATTGGAACTCGTGTGTGACACAAAATTTTACTTGTCAGTGGGATGAAACACTGACAGTTTCAATCTAACATGAGGATACAAAAATTTGTGGCAACTAAGCGAATATTGATAAGCATTAGAGTCATGACACGTGGGATACAACCGGACCTAGCATAACTCAAGCTAAAGTTACAACTAATCACATTAAAATTCACCTAAGGTGTGATGCACATGGGAAATATGAATATGGATGGAAAAACAAATAATTGGTAACTACAATTTATGTGTATCATGACTAGCTAGAGAATAAAATGCAAACCATATAGTAAGGCTAAAATGAGCCCAGATACATTGTGGCCATCCACTTATTCCAACCGTGTGCCCCTAGGTGGCCCACGTAACCCACACGCCACACCTTTGTTCTTTTAGGTTTTGAGCTAGTTGCTATTAGTTGCAACCAATCACAACTCAGTTGCAAGTATAGGCTTAGTCACGAATCGTGACCAACTGAGCCAGTCGTAGCTCAGTTGTAACTAGACTCCAGTCGCGAGTTGTAACTAGACAACCAGGCCCAGTCGTGACCAACTACAGCCAATTATAACCAATTACAGCCATGAGGGATGGTGGGCTGCGTTGGTTGGTTCAGTTGGGTGGGCCAGTCCCCATTTTCTATGGCAGGTACGTCCCAAGTGTATCACAACCATAGAGAGAGAAAAATAAGTAATTTTAATTAGTTGCAGATCCTAAATTATCCATAACTTGTAATATTTTTGTTTCTTAAAATTTTAGCATGTGTAATAGTACGATTAGATAGATTAGTATTAGAGAAACAAGAAACTTAGTGCAAATAAGTTTATATAAGAGAGAAATATAACCTGTACAACTATTTTTAAGGTACGGATTTCCTTGAAAGCCATCGGAACACTTGCAGCGGTACCATCACGTGTTTTCCCTCGCATGACTTCTTTGCAGAAACTGTTGTCACTTATGCACGCATATGTAGCATTATTTAGCCTAGCTTCATGGCAAGATAAGTTTGCTATGACCCATTTTATTATTATATCCTCCTGAGAGAAATCAAAATTACCATCCACAACCTCCCGGTAAGTTGTATGGAAATTGTTGGGATAGTAACCATCATCATCATAGTTAGTGATGACTACCCTCTCCATATTGTTGGAGCTTGTGTCATTCAACATGTTTGTAACTGTCAGAAGCCCATCATCAAGTGATAAATTGGTCACACGATATTGTGCATACCGTCGATCAAGAACAGTAGTGACGTTACTTGTGCAGTTGAGTCGTAGGTTATCATTTGCGAAGCAACCTTTTTCAAACCCAAAAGGGAATGGAATGGCCATGTTTCCACATAATCTCGTACAGTTCTCATTGTTCGCCCTTGGATTGTAACCTGCTTCAATTCATGTTAGACAAAGTGAGGAATTAGGATATTAATCCAAGGGAACTACAGTAATAAGGCATTTTTACAGGAAGAAACTAGTAAGTTTAGTTCAGCGGTAAAGTCATTTGATATGTATGGCAATACATACAACAAATGCAGGGATCTGTTATTTATTAGGAATAAATAACACATCAATCCACATGCATGTGTGGCAAAATTTGTGATTCGCGTGGGTGCTTTCAGATCATTGGTAATAATATGAACTGACGACAATACAATATCCAAATCTAGAATATGACTCAAACCACTTAAAAAGCTATATACGTCATGTGAAAAAGAAGCAGAGGAAGCATGAACCTTGGATGCAGCCATCTACAATATAGGGGTTGCCAATTTGACCAGGGCAGGAGCAACTGTAGCCTCCTCGAGATAGTGGAAGATCGCGGCATATGCTTTCATTATTACAAGCATAGGTTCCCTTATTCTCTTGGGATTGGGCACTTGCACAGCTTGGTTGGTCCGTGATTGCAATCCCAAGTAACATATCTTGAACATTGGTTGTATTCACCCAACTTGCGTAAAGATCGCCTATAACGAATTCATAGTCGTTTTCCGTAAAGATAACCTTGACACTAGAGAGATCTTCATCTAATAATTGTGGAATCGTACTATTACAGCGGCGAAGTTCCAGAGTAAAGGCTTGCCGGCCACTTCTTGATAACCAGATGTAGCAGCAGCCAAACCCTTGACAGGCACCGGTTCCCACGTTTGCCGTCTCCATGATCTCCTTGTTATCTGTGCAAAAACTCATGCAAGAACCAATGGCATCTGTCGCATTTTCACCGAACATGTAGACGTCGACACCACAGCCAACAACATACAAAAAGTTTCCAGAATCAATAATGACACTCTCTGTAGGGGCCTTCCAGGACCTGGTGATGTAGGTGTCCACATCTAAGCCCATGGTGATGTTGTACCCAACGGCAGAAGCCAAAACATAATTGCTGCCGACATATATAAGTCACCTGAGTCGAGCTGTTTGCCAAGAAGAGCCTGGGGGAACCAGTTGTGTTGTCGCAGGTGAGCTCGAAGCCTTGCCGGAAGCAGCCTGGTCCTAGCCCAAAGGGGTACGAGATGTTGACACCCCCGCAGTGGGAGGGGCAGTGCGCCAGGGAGGCATTGGTTGGGATACCAAGGAGCCCATCCCCGGTCCCGGCGGCATGGACCTTGGCCGGCGGCACTCGCGCCGCGGCGGCCAAACACAAGAGCACAACGCATGTGCGAGCTACTAGCACTCCAGTGGAGCACATGGTTGTAGCCGAAGGTCTGCAAGGGCTTGTCTATGGAGATGGAGTATGGCGTGTGAGTGTCTACACAGTTTTATGCGTTGGGCAAGAAAAATATCGGAGTAGCAGTCCAACACTCGAGATAGCGATGGTATTACTGGAAGCACGACCGGGACTTGGAATATCAGGGCAATAGTACCATCTGATGTTATGCTCGTCGCTGGGGCCAAGAAGACTTTGCCAAATGAGATGTGGACTGTGGAGTATTCCTCCTGCCTTTCATTGATGGAAACAACGATGTGCCCTTGTGCCCCAATAGTCCAATCTCCGTGTCTAAAAATGGGAGAGAAGTCATCGGTTACACCTCCCACGTTAACTCTCAACATAGAAAAAAAAATACTAAAACATTCGTTCATCTTAGTATTATCCCTGTATCTAAAATGACATCACTTTTCACTTTAGATTCAAATTTATATATACCATAAAATGTGTCATTTAGCTTGTGAACAACTAGTGGAGCCATCAACATTAACTGCATCCCTCATCCAGTCACCATAAGAATAGAAATGCTGGTAACACATGTAAGGCCCTTTTCGAAAGCATAATAGGAAAAAAAATAGGAATAGAAAAAACACATGAATGGGATATGAATGTATATGCAAAACAGATGACTGAAAAATATAGGAATTTTTTAGAAATATGTGTTTGGATCAACCGCAAGAAAAATGCAAGAAACAAGAAACATAAGGTTTAAGTGGATGTTTTTTCCCATGGTATTTCTGTGAACTCAAACATCAAGAAAAATTTTCTTATGTTTTTTTGGCAAATGTTTTCTGCAAACAAAATGGTGCTACAGTAACTCAATCCTTAGGAATGAGAATTCTATATTTTTCCTTTCCTATAATCCGAAGGGGGCCTAAAGCTGATAATCTAGGTTGCATGCATGATGTGGATAACCATTAACCAAACCCTGATATTGGAAAGGTTGCGTATTTTTTCCGTTGATTATCTCCGCAAACATGATGAAATTACGACTCCCTCTGTCCTAAAATATAAGGTATCTAAGCCTTTAAATTTGTCTCAAACTATAAGGAATTTTAGGTGAATAAACATTTCAAATGGCAACATTCACATACATACTTACCATTAATGTTTATCACCAGCCCAAATATAGTAATCTGAGAGGGTTATATACATCATTTGTTAGCATATAATATGTCCTAAAATTGTTTGGATATCTTATATTTCAATACGGAGGTAGTACAATAATTAGAGGCACCTAGGCAAATTTCCTTGAGCACACATATCTTTAAGGCAATGGGCTATTAATTAGAGGTCTTCAACAGACGTTTTGACATTAATTCTCACAAGAGGTAAACCTTACAAATTCTCATAAAAATCTGAGATATCTAGCTACCATTATTAGTTCTGTAATGATCTGTGAAGTCTTCTCTTGACTTACCATAAAAGATATCAGTAATTGATCAATGTTTCAGAATCTTATATCTATTTTTTTAAATAAAATACAAAGAAGTCTACTCCGGAAGCTATTGCTTCGTTGAGTGAGTCTACTAATATCGCAATCCTTACAGCTACAGCTCGAGGTAACACCGTAACAGGAAGAATTTATAGTATTGCGCAAAAACTGGAAACCACCGGAGCCACATGTAAGATAGCCGCCACAAGTATTTCATAGCTCGCTCAAAACTAGTGGAGCTTGACCGGTGTTAAGTCTTCTCACGAGTTACCATCTGTGATGTTAACCGAAGCGAATTTTAAAGTGTTCCGTGTTTTTTCGTTTGTGTTTGATTGGAGGCTCGAGCTGAGCGCCTAAGTATGTGAGCTTGGTACTCTTTTCTAGTCTAACTAAAAGGGGAGAAAAGGAAAGGACCGAGCACTTGCTATTTTGTTTTAAAAACTAGTAAGATGACCTGCGCTAATAACAATTTTTTTCATTGTAAGAATTAAACTGACTTCTTGCATTAACATCTGATCCTCTTTACAGACAGTGCTTCCTGTAATTGTCTATCTGCATTTGTTAATTCAAGTCTTCCAGCCTGAGAGAGAAAAGCAGAGACACTAGCCAGTCTTCTTTCACATTTGGTCACTAGAGGCAGAAAATCTTGGACCTTTGGTTTTGTTAGGCCTAGGGCAGTGGCGGACCTAGGATTTTACCACAGGATATGCCGCACGAATTTTTTTTATGTAATTCGGTAAAACCATTTTCAATATAGTAAAACCATATTTTACTTCTGTAAACCACATGTATTAAATAACATGATAAGCTTTGAATTCAAAAATTAAGCTAGAAACTATGACAATTACAATATGAATAGTGCAAATGAAATACAAATAGTTTGAAATGTAGCCGTAAAAGAGACTTACAATACTACTTTTCTGACTTATTTACCCGCTGCATTTTGAATGAATGAATGTCTTGATTATATCATCTTCATCCACTTGGAAGAAAATATCACGTTCAATGTATGTGACTAGACAGTCATCATCCCAAAACACTCACCTAGTAATTGACAGAATCATGTTTCGGTTAGAAAACTAACAAGATATAATTTTTTGAATGGAAAACTGTCATATCCGGCCCAGTTTGGAATTTGGCCCATAGTGGCTCATGTGCATGTTAATGAGATATTATGGAGGGTTTAGTCCCACCTTGGTCGTTAAAAGTGGGTTAGACCAATATATAAGGCCTTTAGAGTCCATCCCACCATCCCGGGGTTAATCCTTTTACGCGAAACGAGGACGAAAGCGTAAGTGAGATGGTGGTAGGTGTGGTTCACTCATCTTGTAGAGTGGGTCTGAGCTGTTTGGACTCTGGGGCGCTACAAATGGTATCAGAGCCGACCTTCGCGGCCACAGGCGCGTGCGGGTCAGGGGCGCAGACATGGGCTCATTGCGCGTGTAGGCCCTGCAGGGGTGCACGGCATGGCACATTACACGTGTCGGCCCTGTAGAGTGCACGGCATGGCACATGTGCCGGCATTGGACGTACAGTCGCGTGTGCTAAGAGGGAACGTTCCTAGTCATCGTTTGCCCGGTTATGGGTGTGTTGGGCCGACAAGGACGTCGGGTCCTTTGAGGGGGGTGTATGTCATATCTGGCCCAGTTTGAAACTTGGCCCATAGTGGCCCATGTGCATGTAATGAGATATTGTGTAGGTTTTAGTCAAACCTTGGTTGTTAAAGGTGGGTTAGACCAACATATAAGGCTTTTAGTGTCCATCCTATCATCCCTAGGTTAATCATTTACGCGAAGCGAGGACGAAAGCGTAAGAGGGATGGTGGTAGGTGTAGTTCACTCAGCGTGTAGAGTGGGTCTAAGCCATTTGGACTCTGGGGTGTTACAAAAATTGACAAGATATGAATGTCTGATGGACGAACTCACGAACTAATTCCTAATCTAATATCTCATTAGTCTACCTAAAACACAAATAAATCACTCATAAATAAATAAATAAGAGTATTTAAGTACACAAATGTTTTAGAAAAAAAAAAGATTAATCTTAAACCTAAAAGTAAACTAACCAACGATAGGTCACTGGTCGCCTCTGTGACGCGCGATGCCATAATTCCGGCCGGCCCTCATGCTCGACGGCGCGGCAGTCGTGCTTGGTCCGTTGGTCACTAGCGCCTAGCGGCTAGTTGTCCTTGCATGCTGAAAGTGCATCTAGCTCCTTAGTGGTTTTGGTTGATTGAATGACAACACGATTAAATGACTAACATGTTTGCTAAGTGTGAAACAGAAAATTGATTATCTCACAGGTACTTGATGACAGTGTATAAAGCCAAAATGATGTGTTGTTGTATAAGCAATCTAGTTCAAGCACAAGACAACAATGCAAATAGAATTCTTGCAATGGCTTAATTATGGTGGGATATCAATGATTGATGATGTTCTATGGAATTCATTGTATGATTCAACACAAGATATGACTTGATGGTTTGAGTTAGTGAAGATAGCAGGGAAAGGCTTCGAGGTACTAAGCAAGGGTGAAGGGCAAGCAACGACTTGACGGCCGAGGAACTATCGATGTTTTACCATCGATAGCCTGTCACGGGGGTACCCGGGGCAGTTGTTCGGGCTTCGACGTATACAGAACTCAGCGGTTAACGCAAGAGACAGTCGATTTATCCTGGTTCGGGCCCTCGACCGTGATCGAGTAATAGCCCTACGCCCAGTCGGCTTTAGCCTTTGCGTTGGATTGATCGTAATGTGGTGTGTTCAATCGTTCTTAGACCTTCTAGCCTTAGACTTACCGATCTAGGGAGCCCTGCCCTCCTTTATATAGTCCAGAAGGCAAGAGTCCTAGTCGGTTTATAATGTAGAGTCCTAGTAGGATTACAGGGTAGTACTACTACTAGGATTATATGGGAGGAATCCTAGTTAGACTAGATCTTCTCTCTTCCTTATGGGGTATCCCGTGGGTCCCGCATCAACAAGCCCCTGAGCACTTCATGGTTTAGCTTCTGGAAGCCTCGTCTTGTTCCTTCAGGTCTTGCCGATTAGGAACAAGCGTCATCCGAGTGCTTTCTTGAGTGAAACCGTGTAGCGCTCCTTGAGATCTTCGAGTGGTGTGCACTTTTTTGAAAAAGTACACCCACTAGGTGTAGCCCCCAAGCCTCTTGCTATTTGGAACAAAGAGTTGGAGGGTCTTCTCTGA